CGGGAGCATACGGGAGGGGCTCTGCGGCGGCTGGCACCAAGGGGCAGCTCTAGTACCTGCCTGTCAGGCGGCTGGGCTCTGGGGTTCCAGGCCTGCGCTAGGGCCCTGACTAGCATCCCTGGGGCCCTTCCCTAGGACCTCCTGGGGAGCGGGCCAGGGGCCGGACTCCACACCTGTCCCTCTGCCCAGCAGTGAGTGGAGCCGGGGCAGCTGTCCCTGCTGGGGGCACTCGACGGAGGCTTTCCCAGCAGGTGTAGGGTGGCCATGGAGGGACCGCAAGGACCGAGGGGGAGTCCGGGCTGGGCGAGAAGGAAGCAGAGCAGTGCTTATAGGAGTGAGTGCGGGGGGCAAGGGCACCATTTTGGGAGGGTGGGGTGGGGGGCAGCTGGAGCTGCCCATGCCAGGTTGGTGCTGCTCTTCTTCCTCGGACCCTCAGGGAGCCAGGGGAAAGTTCACAGCCGGCTGCATCTTCCTCTGCCCTCCCCAGGGCAGCTGGGTGCGAGAGGAAGGCACAAGCTGAGCACTTTCCCCTCAGTCCCTGAGAGTCAGGAGACGTGGGGCTGGGGCATCCCTGGAGAGGGGGGCAGGCATATCCCCAGCCAGCCCGTTTCACCTGCCTGGCTACCTGCTGCAGGGGCACCCCGGGAGCGCGGCTAGGAGCAGCTGCAGCCACGGCCTTGCTGGAGCACAGCACCGGGGTGCACCGGCTCCCGTTTACCTCTGGCCTCCGGAGCACGTCGAGGCCCTGCAGGTGTCCTGTTTCATATCAGCAGAGGACAGAATAGCAAAACCAGGCCCGTGCTCTAGAACAGCAGACAAATGGCCACCCTACGCAGACGCGAGCCCTGTGGCTGGTGGGGGACGTCTCCCTGGCACTGACCCTTCGAAGTGGTCGCTCCTGGGCAGCCCGCGTCTTGCTGCAGCCAGGTCCCCGGGGCAGCGGCAGGGTCTTGGGGCGAGTGAGCCTTGGAGCCAGGTGATTTGATAGAACGGATGGAACTGGCCTCAGCTCCCCATGGCGGGGGCGGGAGCAGAGATGCTGGGCCGGGTATCTGATTCCAGCGCGGTAAAGCCAGGCTGGGGACCCCTGGGGCTGTTCTGGACATCTGGGTCGTGCTCAGGGTTTTCACAGCGTCCGGCGGGGGCCAGGCGCCTGCCTTTCGAGTTTCTGTGGGGCTTTCTGTGGGTCGTGGATTCCAGTGCACCTCTCTGCAAGGCCGCCTCATTGCCTTCTGCAGCCAGGCCTAGCCAAGGGCTGATAATCGGCTGTGCTGTGGTGGCCGGTGGCTATGCTGACCGTGTTGTGTCTCTGTGTCCCTGTGCTCACAGGTCTATGTGTAGCCACTTGTCTCGGGTGGGGTAAACACGTTGGGGTGGGACTGTCATGTTGTGTTCGCACAGGGCTGGCTGGGACCCTGGGTGCTTCCACGATATGCACGTGACCATTAATGTTAGCTGTGGTGAGGGAGAGACCTGCCGAAGTGCATCAGACCAGTGGTTTGTCCAGGTCAGGATCTTGCTCCGACTGGCCTGCCCTTGGCTCTTCAGAGGACGGTGCAGAGGGCCCATTGAGAAGTTTCCTCCTAGCACCTTTCCGACGCTGCGTGAAGCTCTGGAGACAGGAGGGTTTAGAACCCGTTAGAATTTCTTTACCCTCTCATATTAGGGATGTGAAAACCGTTGTTTTAACTCAGGGCCTGCTGGACCCTGCCACCTGGCCTGCAGGACCCCCCACGGCTGGGGCAGCACTGGGCCACCAGCGGGGTGGTTAACCAAAAGGGTCCTGGTAAAGCTCCTGCTTACTGGTGCACGTCTCGGCTAACAGTTTCACATCCCTATCTGATGTACGGGAGAATATTTTCATTAGTCCTGCGAGTGTCTAATCCTGTTTGAATCTTGCTAAGCTCTTGGCCTCCCTGGCGTCTAGTGCCAAGGAGTTCCACACGCTAATCGTGCATGGTCTGGGAAAAGCTTTTCCTTTTCTCAGTAGACTTGTTTCCTGTCAGGTTCATTGTCTATCTCCTCCTTTTTGGCACTATGAGAGAGGGTGAATGGTACCTGCCCTGTCCCATTCACCATTTTGGGTACCTCTCTTATGCCACCCCCTCATTCATCTCCTCAGTAAACCAAAAGCCCCAGTTCTCCGTTTCTTCTCAGACTGAAGTCTCCCCAGAACTGAATTTCCTCCCTCCTTCCTCTCCTCTCTGCCCCTTTCGGAATTAGGGTGACTCCTGCTGAGCGGGATTCTCGTGGCGGGTGTAACCTGGATTTATACAGGGGTGCTCCAGCATTCTCACTATTATTCTCTGTACATCCTGACCACAGCTACGCACTGAGCAGACGGTTTAGCTGAGCTGCCTGCTAACGAGCTAGGCTGTTCTCGGCGGGTGATCCCAGCCTGGTGACTTGGGGTTTGGGTTGGTACCTTGCTGGGAGCCAGAGCATGTCCCTGGGAGTCATTGGCACATGTAGCTGATGTGAGTCACGAGACCGTTTGAGGTTCAGCCAGTGTGCCAGTGGCCTTTCTGCTGGCTTTGCTGATGGACGGGGGTAGCACAGAGAGACTGAGCAAGGGAGGGTGCCAGTGGCCTTTCTGCCGGCTTTGCTGATGGACGGGGGTAGCACAGAGAGACTGAGCAAGGGAGGGTGCCAGTGGCCTTTCTGCCGGCTTTGCTGATGGACGGGGGTAGCACAGAGAGACTGAGCAAGGGAGGGTGCCAGTGGCCTTTCTGCCGGCTTTGCTGATGGACGGGGGTAGCACAGAGAGACTGAGCAAGGGAGGGTGCCAGTGAAATAATAAGTAGAAATGAATCTCAAATAGCAACGTCCCCTGGCTGGCTGGGACGGCTCTTGCTGCCCCTCTCACTGCACCTTAGCTCTGATTTCCTACCGTTCTCTACTGGCAAAACCCACTGGAAGGGCTGGACTATTGAGAGCAACATCTGCCAGAGCCCAGGGCTGGGCCATGTGGGTGTCCTCTGTATTTGGATGACTACTGGCAGAGGGCAGGGTCTTACCAGGCAGGTCTGTGTCCCCAGCTACATGCTCGGTTCTACAGGTGAGCAGTATCCCTGTAATCTGGGCGCTTGTGCAGCTGCTCAGGAGAGATTCAGATGCTGCCCAGCTGATTAGCAGAGCACCCGCAGCCAGGTTTTGTGTTTCTACTCGTGGTGCACGTTTGCACATGCCTAGGAGCACGTAACATTTATTCTGCATGTGGATGGAAAAGGTTACAGGGAATATGAGAAGCTGGAGATGAGTGCATTAGGAGGAGCACTGCCAGCAGAGTTAGGGAGGTGATTATTCCCTTTTATTCAACACTGATGAGGCCACAGCTGGAGTGTTGCGTCCAATTCTAGGCCTCCCCATTACAGAGAGGATGTGGACGCATTGGAGAGAGTTCAGCTGAGGGCAACAACAATGATTAGGGGGCTGGAGCACATGACTTACGAGGAGGGGCCGAGGGATTTGGGCTTGTCTAGTCTGCAGAAGAGACGAGTGGGGGGGATTCGATGGCAGCCGTCAGCTCCCGGAAGGGGGGTTCCCAAGAGGACGGAGAGAGGCTGTT